TTTTTTAAACACTGAAAGAAAGGCTAGGAGATTCTGTTCTGAACAAAACAAAAATCTGCACCATGCTCACCTAAATTATATTTTGAAAAGTAGGAGTGAATACTAAGAATTTAATTTTAATTCTACATATAGAAGAGGGTTTTCAAGAATGTGAAGGAAGATTCTTTCTTTTCTCCTCTTGCAGCGGACATAACTCTGGATGCAGCCACAGCCAATGCCTATCTTGTGCTGTCTGAGGATCTGAAAAGTGTGAAATATGGAGGGATCCGACAGCAGTTACCTGACAACCCCGAGAGATTCGACCAGTCTGCAACCGTGTTAGGTGCTCAGAGCTTCACCTGTGGGAGACACTACTGGGAAGTGGACGTGGCAAACAAGACGGAGTGGGAAGTGGGCATCTGTAAGGACTCCGTGAGCAGAAAGGGGAATCTCCCAAAGCCACCTGGGGACCTCTTCTCACTTATAGGCTTGAAAATCGGAGATGATTATAGTCTTTGGGTTTCATCACCTTTAAAAGGTCAACATGTCAGAGAGCCTGTGCGTAAGGTTGGTGTGTTCTTAGACTATGAGTCTGGACATATAGCATTCTACAATGTGATGGAAGAGTCCCTCATCTATAGCTTCCCTCCAGACTCTTTCCAAGAGGCTCTCAGGCCTATCTTTTCTCCTTGCCTTCCAAATGAAGGCACGAACACAGGCCCTCTTACCATCTGCTCACTGAATAGTCATGTTTGAGGGAGATGCCCCGGAGCCTTCCCTGAAGATGAGACCCAAGACCAACAGATGACTATTAATTAACATGATTAATGCGTTGGCAGTATTAACATCAGGCGATCTGAAAGAAAAGACCCCTTAAAGAGTTTCCATTAACTTGGACCTGCAATGAACAACCAAATTGGACAATCAACTTTTAATATCAATAGGAGAAAGCCAGTCATTATATCCTGTGCCTTTAACCAAATTGATTATCTAGACTGTCCCATGTATGTGCTGATCCCTAAAACAGTAGTTAGAACAAGTCCTTGATACCCCGAATCCCACTGTCTTAGGCCAGTTTTATAAATA